GGGTCACAGGGATTCTGGAGCCATGAGTTTCGAGCTGTAGGCAGGGAATGCATTCGCCACAAGACTAATACACAGATATGTACATTCACATCTACAATTTAGTGTCTTTAATTCTCCTGTGCTGCATGTCTTTGGATTATGGGCGATACCAGACCACCCAGAGGAAACTAATGTTCTCAAAAATATAGATTTTTCTAAATCAAATTCTGCCATGCAAATAGCGAATCCGCCATGGCGCGAGCGCAACTGGCTTTTAAAGGGAATGGGAGATGAGACTCTGATTGGTTTATGGCACGTTACGCCCAAAACACACCCATTACTCATTGAGAGAATAGGGACAACCCTTTTAGACCATGTGCCGGACGCGCCGACCATTTTTCCCGTTTTTAAACTAGCAAAAGTGGATTCTGACACGCCCTAAGCGCAATTGCGCCGTGCTTTAGATCATGCGCTTAGATTGTTAAAATAGGGCCTATTTTCTTATAGTATTCTACTGTAATACATGCTATGTTGATTAGCAATGCATTATAAATCCTCTTCTCATCTTCATATTCTTATGAAAATACCAGAGATGGCTTGAAGAACACAGATAAACCATTTATTGTCACATTTGTCTGTTTATTGTCTTCTTGTTTGATCAGTTAACACATTTCTATCTTCTTCTTTTATTCAGTTCCAGCGATATTTTCTAAATCAAATTCTGCCATGCAAATAGCGAATCCGCCATGGTGCGAGCGCAACTGGCTTTTAAAGGGAAAGGGAGATGAGACTCTGATTGGTTTATGGTACGTTACGCCCAAAACACACCCATTACTCATTGAGAGAATAGGGACAACCCTTTTAGACCATGTGCCGGACGCGCCGACCATTTTTCCCGTTGTTAAACTAGCAAAAGTGGATTCTGACACGCCCTAAGCGCAATTGCGCCGTGCTTTAGATCATGCGCTTAGATTGTTAAAATAGGGCCTATTTTCTTATAGTATTCTACTGTAATACATGCTATGTTGATTAGCAATGCATTATAAATCCTCTTCTCATCTTCATATTCTTATGAAAATACCAGAGATGGCTTGAAGAACACAGATAAACCATTTATTGTCACATTTGTCTGTTTATTGTCTTCTTGTTTGATCAGTTAACGCATTTCTATCTTCTTCTTTTATTCAGTTCCAGCGATAGCTGGATGCCTTTATCAAAAATGGTACCAAATATCAAAATGATTTAAGGTATCGTATTGAAGCTATAAATTTCAGTATTGAGTCAACACTAGAGGAAACCCACGCCAACATAGTTAGAACTTGTAAACTCAATACAGAAAGGTCTCAGATGCAAGAAGGACTCGAACTGAGGATCTTCTTGCTGCGAGGCAACATTGCTATCCACTGAGCCACTATGAGAATCTGAATTCATATAAATGAGCATATCCTTAAATGGATGCATTATTGAAGGTACACTGACAAACAGTGAGATGAAGCCCACCTTATTGAAAACAGTCCTTCAGCTCTCTTTGTTATTTCTTTACATTTAAAATGACTTTTCTGCTTATTCAGCTCTTGTCCATTACAGTCAATGAGGCAGCAAATTGAGATATAGCCCTAGACCTTGAAGTGATGTTTCACTGTCATCCTGTGAGTCAGGTTGATATTGCTCAGAGTATATGTGGCGCGTCCTGACAGATTACTCTATTGATCTTCAGGTCTGCTGGACTCTTCACAAAGAGAGATGCTGTTTTAAACACAGTTGACAGCTCAAAGATAAATTCACAAACAACAATCTCATCAAATATCAAGCAGTTTACACATGAGCAAACCTTTATGGTTGTCTGTCCTAAATGCTTGTGTATTTTAGAGAAACTGTCAGTGGGTCATTATTCTTGTACTGTGCATTCAAAACTTTTCCAAGAGTTCTCAAAAAATGATTTGATTGATAAGGAGTTTATGCTGCAAGTGATCTTGGATCTTATTAGGGTCATCTGTGCTTGATTGCTATCTCTGTGGTTAATTGCATTTTGATATACACACTAAATCAGAAATGTATCACTGTCTGTCACACACAGACTTAAGGATATTCTCATGCACTGTTAACTGCAAATAATTCATAGACCTGTCTCATTATTCACTGCCAAAAGTGATATTAAGATCGATGCTCAAATTGATCAAAATAATCTAATATTAGTCATGTAAACATGTTGATGGATTTTCTTTATGGCTTTGTGGGCATCAGAAAGCTTCGCTCCTGTTTTTTTCATGAGTCAAGTCTTGAGATTTTGCTTCTTTTGCGGTGCGGTCATATTGATCCCATACAGAGCACCCGTGCAACATACAGACATGTATTTCAAAGTCCTTTTGAAGGATTTACGATGTTATGTTGTGGATACTGCAGAGGGCTGAGTGACAGAATCTCTCATCGCAATCAATTTTACTCCTCATTCATGGTTTTCTTGCTAAAACGAGATCTAAACATGCCATTAGTTACTGTATGATTTATAGATTTTAGCACTTAAGGAGCATCATGCAGGTATTCAGAAAACATGAATTACCTACATTCATTCAAAAGTGGGAAAAAAGCCTTTGGACTTTAGCATAGAAAAAATATTTTATAGTCAATAACTTTAGAAAATAAATGCAAAACATATTAGCTTTTCCCGGTAGTGCAATTTTTATTTTTATATTCATGTGTTCGAATGGCAGTGCTTTTTTATTTTTTTTTATTTTTGTAATTGTTGCATGAATGTTTTATAATGTGCACCTAAAGAGCGATGTGCGATGCTCTTTCTGCTGTTGCAAAAAATAAAATAATAATAATAATAATTTTTATACATAGTCAGTGATGTTCTAGGCTTTATAGGCTGTAAATGTACCATGTCCTGCAGCATAATACATTTATTTGACATAATCTTGTTTCTGTTGCCCCTCTGTGGTCCTCATTCAGATGTAGTTTTGATGGTCCTGATAAAATAATAATAGGGGTCATTCCTGTTATGCAGTACAAGACCCCGTCATGTATGCATTAATACATTGAATAAACTATTAAACTTAAATGAACATATGGGATGAATTTTAAATAATCTCACTACATTGTTTTGAGCAGGTTCCTGCTCTCTCGAACTAAACAAGTTTTCTTGGAAATATTGTTTTCATCTCTGTCCTCAATACCAGTTTACATATTTTTATTCTTTTATAATAATTAACAAAAGCTTTAATGACATTATCAAATTTTAGCAATGGATTTAATGAATTCTCTGATGTTTTGTGGTATTGTTGGTTTGAAACTTTAAAACAATCTTGTTAGATACAATGGGGGTTATGCGCAACAAACGTACATATTTGTAAAACAGGTCATGTCGCTTCTAGTTCTTTTATGTGCTTTAAATATGGAGCTGTTTTACTCAATATGCCTATTTTTTTCTTCTTCTTCACACTAACATTCAGATATTACTGAATAAAACGGCAACAACATAAACAACTAGCTAGGTTAGCTGATTACCTTAAAAGTCCATAGATATCACCATCAGTTCATACTTCTGTTAACACTTTCTCCAGTAAGCAGATGCGACGACACCTGTTGTCCGGTTTGGTCAGGTGATGTTCAACATATACCCCATTACAGACATTGATATGGATATCAAAATTTGATTAAAAATGTTGGTTAAATTGACCAAAATCCCTTGACACCTTCATGTAAGCTTCTGTAACTATCAGTTGCACACTGAAGTGGCTAACTTTAGCTCTTAATCGCCATCCTTTTATAGAAATGCATCCCAACGCAGTCATATTAATGCAAGTCACTGAGCTCAAAAGGTACAGCATAACAACAATGACCTAAATATTAATATTCAAAATCTCGGGACTGAAACAGTTTGTGGTTTGTACACTCTAAAAAATATGGACGAACCCAGTTGTTGGGTTAAAAATTTAATTAAAAAATGTAACCCAACAGTTGGGTTAGTCCATATTTGAACCAAAAGATGGGTTGAAACAACCCAGCATTTTTTAGAGTGTAGGCTACAAGAAAAGCCTAAACTGACATATTGCTTAAACTGAAAGTTTTTCCATTACATATTTTAAAAGATCTCAGATGTGTTGGAAATAAACCTCTCAGCTTTCAATTCTCGTTTTTCATAAAGAGTAGCTATAGCTACTATAGTGACTATAGTCTAACCCTGTAGGCTATATTAATCTGTTTAAATACTATAACTACGTTATTTATGATAAATATTACATTCCCGAACAATTACGCGATTCCCGAACGATTTTTAATTCATATAACGTTTTTGGTGGTGTTACGATCCCGGACGAGCCCCCAATTTTTACGTATTTCTCAATTCCCCTAGATTAATTACAAAACGGGATCGTAACAGTGGTTTAATGTAAAGCATTAAAGCAGCACTATGTAACTTTTGGTGCTCTACCTGCACACATCCTGTAACTGCACACATCCCATGGAAGAACATTCCAACCGGAGCTACTTCTCTAAGTTTATGTCTCTGGCGATTCACGCAGGTATGTGTTACTCCGCAGCGGTCACGACCCGACCAGGCTACAATAGTCCAAATATAAGTACTTATTATAAGTGTACCGTAGTGAAGACAAAAACGCGGTTTGGAAGATGAATTCATGATGTACTCGCTCATACATTTTGCAAATTTTGAACACAGAAAACGTTACATAGTGCTGCTTTAACGCAGTCTGAGCTGTTGTATTTCATTTTACCACAGTGTGGCACTCCAGTACTGCGCATATGACCTTTCCAGCATTGTTTAGAAGTAAAAGAGAAAGGTTATTGCTGAATACTGAACATTTGTAAAAAAAAATCCGTCAGTTAACGGGATGATACATAGTCTAAAGTTTCGGTCGATGTAATTGCTCTTTTTTTGTGTGTGAATGTGGGATTTGAGAGGTGTGTGTGTTCTTCAGATAAATATCCTGTCAGTGGTCACTTCTCATGCAGAACGCGTCTCATCCACACACACACACACACACACACACTGCTCTGCGTAAAGCTCACGCTGCTGTCTTTCTATCGCTCGCCTCATTCTCTAAAACGCAGTGAGATGTTGTAAGCTCTGTTTGTTAAATCTGGTGACAGAGTGCAGTTTAATACAGGCTGCTGTGTAGACGCTTTTCTGCAGGCGGGCTATAGAGGAAACAACGTGCTTTGAATGCAGAGCAGACTTTCTGTAGTGCAGCCCGGGCTCCAGTCAAAGCCATAAAACAGAGAAATCACTCCAACGGAGCGCATTACAGACTCACTTCAATTAAAGGCTTCGTCTCCCTGCCTTTATTCGGAGGACATCAGGCTCGGGGCTATTCAAGAAGAAGAGCGGGAGAGGGACATTAAAATAAAGCACATCCGAGGAGAGCAGCTGAGGAGAGAGTCCGCGCTTTGAGATGCTTTAGTGGCTTCACCAGACTCATGGCTTCGCTTTACCAGAGATTCACGGGGAAGATTAATACCAACACATCTTTCCCCCATCCACCTGAAGCCAGTCGTCTCCTGGGTGGACATGTTCCCGAAGAGGAGAATAAGACTGGGAAGAGTCCTCATCACCCCTCATCCCGACCCCCGGTCCAGTACCGCAAGAGAAACGCCTGCGAGGATGAAGACGTAAGAATCGCGCTTTTATGTTCTTTACGCGCGGCTACTGTGTTTTAAATATGAGTTGAATACTGTGAGTCAATATTTTTAACGTTTATGTTTTTATTATTTAATAGTGTATACACATGTTTTTTCATGTTAACGAACAATGAAGCAGAAGTAAAAGTTGGTGCATTTCGCATAGGCTAAGGGATTATTCTTGTTGGTCGTGTAGCGCACTGAGCGGTTTTTTTATTTTATTTGAACTAAAGCAGGGTTTTAAAAATACGGTTCCTGAGGTGGTTCCGTTCTCTAAAAGAAGGCAAAACAAACAGTGACCAGCCGGGTGTTTGGCGCTGGACACATAACGCGTAATCCAGAGAGTTTCTACGCTGCGTCTGGCACATCTTATTTTTCACTGGTTTGAGTTTCTAAGAGAAGAATGACGTCACAGCCATCTGATGATGCGTCACAAATCGTCAACCTGTGCTATTAGGTGTTGCTAATATTCGTTTCATATATATATATATATATATATATATATATATATATATATGTGTGTGTGTGTGCGCGCGCGCGTTTGTGTGACATATGAGAACATCTATTTATATAGAGACAAAGGTGTGAGAGCACAAGTTTGTATAATAACATGGATATGACATAGGTATTACAACGAGAAGGTGATTTATGAGGACATTTTCAGTGTCCCCGTAATTCAAATGGCTTATAAATAATTCAGAATGAGTTTTTTGGAAAATCTAAAAATGCAGAAAGTCTCCTGTGAGGGGTAGGTTTAGGGGTAGGGTTGGTGTAGAATATACGGTCTGTACAGTATAAAAACCATTACGCCTATGGAGAGTCCCCACTTTTAGAGTGTGTGTGTGTGTGTGTGTGTGTGTGTGTACCTGGTATTTATCACGTTATGGGGACCAAATGTCTCCACAAGGATAGTAATACTAGTAAATTTTGACCTTGTGGGGACATTTTT